CTCGACGAACCTGGTGAGCAACGCTGTCCTCCAGGATCAGTGGGTTGACACCTTTACCCCTGGAGGACAGCGTGTGGCGATCTGCACGTGCTCCAGGACCGGCCGTCACCTGGCTACGTTTACCCGTCGGCCGGGGTCGAGTCTCTACACACTGACCACTGCGTCTCCTCAGGTTGCTGCTGTCGGTCAGGTGTCCGCGTCAGGTCTGGTGGCCCACGCCTGTGAGTGTCGTTCCCTGTCGCACCAGACTCTTCTCTGGCACCACCGCCTGGGTCACCCCTCCTTGCCACGCCTCCGTGGCATGCACCGTCGCTGCCTTGTGTCTGGTCTTCCCAGGTCCCTCCCTCCCCTCCCTGCCTCGCCTGCGCCGCCTTGCCTTCCTTGCGTCGAGGGGCGGCAGCGCGCCGCTCCTCACTCCTCCTCGTTCCCCCCGACAGAGGCTCCTCTGCAGACCCTCCACCTGGACGTGTGGGGCCCAGCCCGCGTTCGTGGCCAGGGCGGTGAGCGGTACTTTTTGCTGGTTGTCGACGACTACTCGCGTTACACCACGGTCTTCCCCTTGCGCACCAAGGGTGAGGTCCCTGCTGTTCTGATCCCTTGGATCCGCACAGTTCGTCTCCAGCTCCGCCGCCGTTTCCGGACGGATCTTCCTGTCCTGCGTCTGCACTCTGACAGAGGTGGTGAGTTTTCCTCCGATCTCTTGAGGACCTTCTGTCAGGCGGAGGGCATCGAGCAGACCTTCACGCTTCCGGACTCCCCACAGCAGAATGGGGTTGCTGAGCGCCGCATTGGCCTGGTCATGGAGGTCGCTCGTACCTCCTTGGTCCACGCGGCGGCTCCCCATTTTCTGTGGCCGTTTGCTGTCCGGTACGCTGCGCATCAGCTCAACCTCTGGCCCCGTGTCTCCTTGCCGGAGACCTCGCCCACACTGCGTTGGACGGGGGAGGTTGGCGATGCGTCGCGCTTCCGGGTGTGGGGTGCTCGTGCCCTTGTCCGCGATACGTCCGCGGACAAGCTCTCCTCCCGCACGCTTCCCTGTGTCTTCCTTGGCTTTGTCCCTGACGCGCCGGGCTGGCAGTTTTACCACCCCACCTCGCGCCGGGTCTTCGCCTCTCAGGACGTCACCTTTGACGAGTCGGTCCCTTTTTACCGTCTCTTCCCCTACCGCACTGCCCCCCTCCCTCCCCCGCCGCTTTTCCTTGCTCCTGGTCCCCCTCCGGTAGACCCCCTTCCCCCTCAGGGTCCTGCTCCTTCAGGTGTCTCTCAGGTAGACCCTCCTCCCGTCGCTGAGCCTGTCGAGGTCACAGGTGACTCAGGTGCTGCTGCAGGTGGTGCTGCTGGGAGTGCTGAGCCTGGGGGTGCTGAGCCTGCGGGTGCTGGGCCTGGGAGTGCTGGGACTGCGGGTGCTGGAGCTGAGGGTACTGTGCCTGGGAGTTCGGCGCCTGGGGGTGCTGAGCCTGGGGGTGCTACGACTGGGGGTGCTGAGCCTGCGTGTACGGAGTCTGGGGGTGCCGAGCCTGGGGGTACTGCGCCTGAGGGTACTGAGCCTGGGGGTGCTGCTACTGAGCCTACGGAGCCTGGGGTTGCTGCGTCTGGGGGTGCTCTTCCTGGCGGTACTGGAGCTGCTGGAGCTGACGACGCTGGAGCTGACGGTTCTGGACACGGTGGTCCTGCTGGTTCTGGAGGTGCTGGCGAGGGGAGGTCTGACGCTGCTGGGGCCTCTGGTGCTGACGTCGCCGACTCGGGGGGTGCTGCGGCGGAGGGTGCTGGTCCAGGTGCTTCTGGTGCTCCGGGTGCTGGAGGTGCTGGCGGAGCTCCGCCGTCGCGCCTGTTCTTCGCTCCTCCGTCGCCGTCGGCTTTGCCGCCGCCTGACACGGTGCTTCGCCAGGTTCTTTCCCTCCCGTCTTCCACTGGCCTTCCCCTTCAGCCTGGCTCCCCCCTCCCTGCTCCGGTGCCTTACACTGCACAGCCGGACTCGCTTACGGAGCGTCGTGAGCCTGCGTCTCGTCCTGCCTCTCCTGTTCGCGCTGCTCGCACTCCTCTCACTGGTCCCACTAGCCGTCGTGTCGCGCGTCCGCGTCCTCCTCCTGTTCCTGGCACGCACATTATGGCACTTCGTCCTTCCACTGGTCCACAGCGTGTCCCCCTACCGTCTCCTCCTGCGTCTTCTCTTCCTGACGTTCCCGACCCTGAGTCTGACAGTGTTCGTGCTGCCCACCCTACTGTCACGCGTCTTCTCGCCACTGTTGTCACTGACCCGTCGTTTGAGTCTTCTGCTGCGTCTGCCCTGGTCGCTGAGCTTGTCGACTTTGCTGCTGCCTGTCGCCTCGACTACGCCGCCAGTCTTGTTGCTGAGTCTGAGTCTGTCTGTCTTCCGTCCGTCGGGGGTGAGTGTGCTCTTGACACGGACGTCCTTGAGGACAGGCAGGAGGACTTTGACTCTCTCGCGGCTGCTGTACCTCATCTCGTGGCCTGGTTGCTTGCCCCTGAGGGAGACCCGGATGCACTAGACATCCCCACTCTGCGCACTTACGCAGAGGCGATCTCGGGTCCCTACTCCTCTCAGTGGCAGACAGCCATGGACGCAGAGATGGCATCCTGGAAGTCCACAGGCACCTACGTCGACAAGGTTCCCCCTCCTGGGGCGAACATCGTCGATGGCATGTGGATTTTCAGGGTGAAGCGGCCGCCAGGTTCTCCGCCTGTCTTCAAGGCTCGTTACGTTGCTAGAGGCTTCAGTCAGCGTCAGGGGGTCGACTTCTTCCAGACCTTCTCCCCCACCCCGAAGATGACCACTCTTCGGGTTCTGCTGCACGTTGCTGCTCAGCGTGACTACGAGCTTCACTCTCTTGACTTCAGCACAGCGTTCCTGCAAGGCAGCCTGCACGAGGAGATCTGGCTGCGCCGCCCACCTGGCTTTACTGGGTCGTTTCCTCCTGGTACCCAGTGGAGCCTCCGCCGGCCAGTCTACGGTCTCCGCCAGGCGCCACGTGAGTGGCACGACACACTGAGGACTACACTTGCGGCTCTTGGGTTCGCGCCGTCTACTGCTGACCCGTCGCTGTTTCTGCGCACAGACACGTCGCTGCCGCCGTTCTACATTCTCGTGTACGTCGACGACTTGGTCTTTGCTACTGCTGACACTGAGGCACTCGCTCGTGTGAAGTCGGAGCTGCAGAAGAGACACACCTGCACTGACCTGGGTGAACTGCGTAGCTACCTTGGCTTGCAGATCACCCGGGACAGAGCTCGCCGCACCATCACCCTGACTCAGTCACACATGGTGCAGCAGGTCCTTCAGCGCTTCGGCTTCCAGTTCTCCTCACCACAGGCCACACCTCTGGCTACCAGCCACTCGCTCTCAGCTCCACCTTCGGACGAGTCCGTAGAGCCGAGTGGCCCGTACCCAGAGCTTGTAGGCTGCCTCATGTACCTGATGACTTGCACGCGACCTGACCTCGCGTACCCACTTAGCATCCTTGCTCGCTACGTTGCGCCTGGGAGACACAGGCGAGAGCACTGGGAGGCTGCTAAGAGGGTGCTGCGTTACTTGTGCAGTACATCAGGCATGGGGCTGGTGCTTGGAGGACGCGACAGAGTTGTCCTCACTGGTCACTCGGACGCTTCTTGGGTGGACGACCTGGCTACGCAGCGGTCGTCACAGGGTTACACCTTCAGCCTTGGCTCTGGTTCTGTCTCGTGGCGGTCCACCCGCTCTTCTTCTGTTCTCGGCTCTAGTTGTGAGGCTGAGATCTACGCCACAGCCATGGCTGCACAGGAGTTACGCTGGCTCACCTACCTGCTGACTGACTTGGGAGAGCGGCCTAGTTCTCCTCCAGTTCTGTACGGTGACAACAAGGCGGCTCTTGCCTTGTGTCAGGAGCACAGACTGGAGCACAGGACGAAGCACATTGCTCTTCGCTACTTTCTTGCTCGAGAGCTTCAGCAGCGCGGTCAGCTTCGGCTTGTGTACGTGGACTCGAAGGCCAACACTGCTGATGTCTTCACCAAGGCGCTCCCGCCTAGTGATCATCAGCGGCACTGTACTTCTTTAGGCCTTGTGTCCACGTTTCCTCACTTGCTCACTGCTTGACATTCTTTGTACTGTACTTTATATTTGTCTTGCTGCTTGTCCTGTTCTATATCTAGCACTACATGTGAACTGGCCTTGTGGCCTTTGTTTGTGCTCGGAGTGTGGTGACGTTGTGATCCACCCTGGGCTTGTTTTTGCTTTGCTGGACTGGTCTTGTGACCCTTTGCTCTCCCCCACTTTGCCTATGGGGGTGTGTTAAGTTGTAATGTGTTATTTATATGTAGGTAGGCTGTAGTGGGGTAGCCAATACAGGGTACAAACCCAACTAGGGTTAGCTACTTGTACCCAACTGTTTCTTTCAATGCTCTCATTCTTGCCTAGTTCTGTTAACAGGACCATGCCTTGGTGGCAAGGAATCTTGCCGCATTATGCCCATTTCGTGGTCTACTGCGTTGTGCCTGGCACGGCAGGCGACCCTGATTGGGCAGTCGCACACATTACAGCGTGTGCGCTGGCATGGGCCGGATTCATGTACGATGAATCTGGCCAGGCCAGCAAGGCGTGGCAGGCGTGATTCCACGCCTTGTTGGCCCTTTGACGCGCAATTCATGCACTCGTTCGAACGTTCCAGATGTTGATTGAATCCCCTTGAGAAAAAGCTTCAATTACCGTACATGTAAAAAAAAGTACATACGTTTCTGCCATTTTATAGACGCCGGCACTTATAAATTTCCTCAAGTAAGTGCACCCCCTAAAAAACAGTGTTTTATTACAACCCCAGGGGCGCTTCTATCCGGGGTATGACGGTTTAGTTAGGTGCTGCTCTTTCTACCATCTACTCACACTTCTCACAAAAACTAGACCAATCTGGCTTTCACGATACCTAGGTGCCTATAATGTAGGGTACCACATGCGGATACTAAACAGAACCTGCAGTATGGCAGCAACACTTAACAAACCATGGCGCTCAAGACTGCATAGTGTCCTTCTTAGCGTTGTACTGGTCAAGCTCTGCATCAAGCTCCTCTTGGGTCTTGGGAGCCTCTGACTTCCTGCCTCTGCCTCTCCCCCGGCCCCGACCTCGAGCACCTCCCCTTCCACCTCGGCCGCGTCCACCAAACCCACCGCCCCTGGTAAACAAGCAAAAAGGGAAACAAGAGAAGCGTCAGCCCAATTTAAAACCGAAACAAGAGAATTTAGAAGAGACATGTAATGTTGCGCTAAGCTTACCCTGCAGGAAAGCCAAACGGCGCGACAATAGCTGGTGCAACTGCCACCCTCGCGACAGGCGGAACAGCAGGAGCAACAGTGGAACCGATGAGCTCAATCTTCATAGGTTTCCCGTCCAACTGAACGTTGTTGTACCGGGTCATGGCTGCCAAGGCATCCGCTTTCCGTGCGAACACAACTTCCGCTGTGCCCTGTGAGGTTAATATAGAACAAGGATGTCAGCACTGATAACGGTAAGAACAGTATAACATTACAAGAGGTAAAAAGAAAGCATGTGCCTACCTTAGATCGCCCACTTCTGTCATAGTGAACCGAGAAGCGCTTGAGCTCTCCAATCTCCGAAAAGAGTTCCTGCAACAAAAGACGGTGAATTCAGCCAGTAGATCGTAGACAGGAAAAAGACATAACTTCTTAATTCGCACCTTAACGTCGTCGTTCGACACGCCGTAGTCCAGATTCGACACATACAGCTTCGTCCCTGTCTCGATGCCTTGTCCTGCGGCACGTCCGGCTGCCGGAACAGCAACTGCGCCAGCATCGTACATGTCGTGTTGCCAGGCACGGTCAGTTACCATGGCAGCAGGCTGGCGAGAACAAGAAACAAAAAAAACGTGTGAACAAGAGCTCGTGCAGAGCTGCGCATGCATGTACCTGTTCCAAACCAACGTAACTATTGCTCCGAACCGACGGACTAGTGCTACATACTCCACGTGCACAGCTTTGAGATATTTAGCAGTGTAAATAAGAAAAATGATGTGGTCAGTTGTCACCAACATGTCAGCCCGCCACGATGGTTCGAGGTAAAACAGGAGCCACGTCAGGCGTTCCCGAGAACCAGGAGCTGAGCGACAGAGAGTTGGACGATTCCACGACAACCGACCCCACCAAACGGCTCTCCGTAAGCCGCTCATCGTGGAATAATCACACCCCTTGAACGGCATCGACGAATTCTAATTATCTCCTGGACGATTCTTCCCAGCGAGGACGAGAGATGAAGCGGAGAAATCCTTGCAGAATAAGGTGTTCTGAAAAGCCTTCCTGGCTCTCAAGAGAGAAACCAGGTGTGGGATTTGGATGGCGAGATAGAAGATCCGCTTGCCTGGCCATATGGTGTTGATCGAAATCCGCCTCGTCCAGATCTGCGAACAGGACCATAGCCCCTACCAGATCCGGATCCGCGTCCCCCTCGGCTGCCGCCACGACCAGACGACTTCTTAGACTTGATGATATCGTCGAGGGACTGATCGAGCTCGGAAGCCATGATGACGGAACTGTAAGCAGCACACGTCAAGATATGGCACGCGGAAAATTACGAATCCCCACCAATGGAGATGGCGAGTAGAAGCGGAAGCAGATGCAGGCGCCGAACCAGGCACAACGGCTACAATTCTTGGATCTGGAGATTTGGGAAAAGAAAACCTAGTTGCAAAGGTGGAGGGCAGCAGCAGCTTTGAAAAGCTAGGCTTGCCAAGTCGGTGAACAAAGATGGTGTTGTTGCTTGGAAAATGGTATGGGAAGTGAGGCCAATGTCCTCGTGGCGTGTGTGGCGTACTTCTGTCACCAAACCCTCGTTTTCCCGCTGTGTGAAGTCAGAATATCGACGGACCTCCGTCGATAACCAGCCAACAAGCAAGTCAAATCGACGGTTGCCAGTGAGCTGAGAATATCCCCTAGTGACGGTGCCGTTGGAATATAGGGTGCTTACAAAAATTGTTGTTTATAAGATATATATAAAGTCAACTCTTTCCCATTTTGTACGACAAGTAGTCACCTTCTGCAGCATTATCTGATAGGACGCACATGTACACTCTCCCGTGTCATAATACTAAGCATAGCTAGGACTAGGAAGCTAGGGTTTACCTAGCCATGGGAGAGAAGTCCAAGCAAAGGGGAGGGGTTTCACTATGGAAAGGCAAGTACAAATAGTTGAGAAGCATGCCAGCAGTGGTGCACCACCACACAGTACAACTATGTAGCTGCACTACAGCTAGAACTACATGCACTTTACATAATATATATGAAATATATTCTGACACACCCCCTAAGTGCATGCAGGAATAAGCGATGTGCAGAACACCTCCTAAAGTGGTACACCCTGCAGGGCGCAGCAGAAGAAGAGGCGAAGTGAGGAGGAGGAGGAGGAATTGTGAGAGGAGAAGAGGTAGGAGGAGGCACCTGATGTCAGAAGTTCTAGGCAAGAATGGTTGGATTCATCAAATGATGGGTACATAAGCTAACCCTAACATTGGGTTGTACCCAACATGGGCTACCCCACTAGTAGCCTACACAAACATAATATACATAGTTTGACACACCTCCATAGGCAAAGTGGGGGAGAACAAGGGGTCACAAGACTAGTCAAGAAAAGCAAAGCAAGCTCAGGGTGGATCACAACGTCACCACACACACTGAGCACAAGCAAAGGGCCACAAGGCCAGTTCGCATGCAGAGGTAAACATGCAACAGCAACAGAGATACAGTGATCACAACCTAGCAACAACCAACATGAAGGTTTATATAGATCACAGTACAAGCAAGGTCAAGAAGTGAGCAAGTGAGACGAAAGCGGCACCAGGCCTAACAAAGTACATAGACGCTGATGATCACCAGACGAAAGCGCCTTGGTGAATTTATCTGCAGTGTTGGCCCGAGTGTCCACGTGTGTGAAACGAAGCTGACGACGCTGCTGCAACTCTCGAGCCAGGAAGTAACGCAGAGCGATGTGCTTTGTTCTGTGCTCCAGTCTGTGCTCCTTACACAAGGCAATGGCAGCCTTGTTGTCTACGTACAGAACTGGAGGGGAACGAGGCCGCTCTCCCAAGTCGGTCAGCAGGTAGGTGAGCCAGCGTAGCTCCTGTGCAGCCATGGCTGTAGCGTAGATCTCAGCCTCACAACTGGAGCTGAGAACACAAGACGAGCGTGTAGACCGCCACGAGACAGAACCAGAGCCAAGGCTGAACGTATACCCCTGTGACGACTGCTGCGTAGCCAGGTCGTCAACCCAAGAAGCGTCAGAGTGTCCAGTGAGGACAACGTCACCCCGTCCTCCAAGCACGAGCCCCATGCCCGATGTACTGCACAAATAACACAGTACCCTCTTCGCAGCATCCCAGTGCACCTTTCGGTGTCGACCAGGAGCCACGTAGCGTGCCAGAAGGCCAAGAGGGTACGCGAGGTCAGGACGAGTGCAGGTCATCAGGTACATGAGGCAGCCCACTAGCTCTGGATACGGGCCACTCGGCTCTACGGACTCATCCGAAGGCAGAGCTGAGAGCGAGTGACTTGTAGCCAGAGGAGTGGACTGTGGCGAGGAGAACTGGAAGCCGAAGCGCTGAAGGACCAGCTGCACCATGTGTGACTGAGTCAGTGTGATGGTGCGGCGTGCTCTGTCCCGGGTGATCTGCAAGCCAAGGTAACTGCGCAGCTCACCCAGGTCTGTGCACGTGTGTCTCTTCTGCAGCTCCGACTTCACAAGGGCAAGTGCCTCAGTGTCAGCAGTGGCAAAGACCAAGTCGTCGACGTACACGAGGATGTAGAACGGCGGCAGCGAGGTGTCGGTGCGCAGAAACAACGACGGGTCAGCAGTGGAGGGAGCAAACCCAAGAGCCGCAAGTGTCGTCCTCAATGTGTCGTGCCACTCACAAGGCGCCTGGCGGAGACCGTAGACTGGCCGGCGGAGGCTCCACTGGGTACCAGGAGGGAACGACCCAGTGAAGCCAGGTGGGCGGCGCAGCCAGATCTCCTCGTGCAGACTGCCCTGTAGGAAAGCTGTGCTGAAGTCCAGAGAGTGAAGCTCGTAGTCACGCTGAGCGGCAACATGCAGCAGCACCCGAAGAGTGGTCATCTTTGGGGTGGGGGAGAAGGTCTAAAAGAAGTCAACTCCCTGTCGCTGACTGAAACCTCGTGCAACGTAACGAGCCTTGAAGACAGACGGAGAACCCGGCGGCCGCTTCACCCTAAAAATCCACATGCCATCGACAATGTTCGCCCCAGGAGGGGGAACCTCATCGACGTAAGTGCCTGTGGACTTCCAGGATGCCATCTCTGCGTCCATGACTGTCTGCCACTGAGAGGAGTAGTCACCCGAGATCGCCTCTGCGTAAGAGCGCGGGGTGGGGATGTCCAGTGCATCCGGGTCTCCCTCAGGGGCAAGCAGCATGGCCACGAGATGAGGCGCAGTGGCTGCAAGACACTCAAGGTCCTCGTGTCTGTCCTCAAGGACGTCCGTGCCTAGAGCACACTCACCGCCGACGGACGGAGGACAGACAGGCTCAGACTCAGCAACAAGACTAGCGGCGTAGTCGAGACGACAAGCAGCAGCAAAGTCAACAAGCTCAGTGATCAAGGCAGACGCGACAGCAGACTCAAACGAAGGGTCAGTGACAACAGTGGCCAACAGACGCGTGACAGTAGGGTGAGCAGCACGAACCAGGTCAGACTCAGGGTCCGGAACGTGCGGAAGAGAGGACGCAGGAGGAGACGGCAGGGGGACACGCTACGGAACAGAGGAAGGGCGAAGTGCCATAGTGTGCGTGCCTCGGACAGGAGGAGGACGCGGACGAGAAACATGACCAGTGCGACCATTACGAACAGGCGAGGCAGGACGAGACGTAGGCTCACGACGCTCAGTAAGCGACTCAGTCTGCTCAGTGTAAGGAGAGGGAGCAGGCAGAGGGGAGCCTGGCTGTAACGGGAGACCAGTAGAAGACGGGAGGGTAAGAACCTGGCGAAGCACGGAGTCAGGCGGTGGCAGGGAAGATGGCGACGGTGGAGCAAAGAACAGGCGCGGCTGCGGGGGACCGCCAGCTCCAGGGTCCGCAGCACCACCAGCCCCGGCAGCTCGAGCACCCGAGGTGCGAGCACCTCCGGGACTAGTAGCGCTCGAACGACCAGCACCTCCAGCACCAGCAGCACCACCAGCTCCAGCAGCACCTCCTGGCGCAGGGTCCGCAGCACCACCAGCACCGGCAGCCTCCGTCCCAGCGTCTCCAGCGCCAGGGTCAACAACTCCAGTACCGTCAGCTCCTCGGTCACCAGAAACAACACCCCCGGACCCAACACCTCCAGTAGGCCGACCCTGACGGCTAGCGTACCACTCACGCAGCTGCTGTGGGGAAAGAGGTTCACGTCGAGGGGAGGGCTGCGCCGAGGCACCAGTGGGGGGACTCCGAAGGCGGCCACTCCAAGAAGACTAGTAACCAGTAGCCTCAGTACCCCCAGACGCAGTGCCTCCAGGCTCAGCACCCCCAGACTCAGCACTCCCAGGCTCAGCTACTCCAGGCTCAGCACCCTCCGGCTCAATACCCCTAAGCTCCACACCCTCAAGCTCCGCACCCTCAGGCTCAGCACCCGCAGGCTCAGCACCCCCAAGCTCCGCACCCACAGGGTCTGCTCCCCCAGGCTCAGCACCCCCAAGCTCCGCACCCCCAGGCTCAGCACCCCCAAGCTCAGCACCCCCAAGCTCCGCACCCCCAGGCTCAGCACCCCCAGGCTCAGCAACCCCAAGCTCCGCACCCGCAGGCTTAGCACCCCCAGGCTCAGCACCTCGAGCAGCACCTGAGTCACCAGAGACCTCAAAAGGCACAGTTAAGGGAGGGTCTACCTGAGACACACCTGAAGGAGCAGGACCTGGAGGGGGGAGGGGGTCTACCTGGGGAGGACCTGGAGCGAGAAAGAGCGGCGGGGGGGGGGGGGGGGGGGGGGGGGGGGGGGGGAGGGAGCGGCAGTGCGGTAGGGAAAGAGACGGTAAAAGGGGACTGACTCGTCAAAGGTGACGTCCTGAGACGCAAAGACACGGCGCGAGGCGGGGTGGTAAAACTGCCAGCCAGGCGCGTCAGGGGGAAAGCCAAGGAAGACGCAGGGAACGGCGAGAGGAGAGAGCTTGTCCACGGTGGTATCGCGGACAAAGGCACGAGCACCCCAGACCCGGAACCGCGACGCATCGCCAACCTTCCCCGTCCAACGCAGTGTAGGTGAAGTCTCCGGCAAGGAGACACGAGGCCAGAGGTTGAGCTGATGCGCGGCGTACCGGACCGCAAACGGCCATAGAAAATGGGGAGCCGCTGCATGGATCATGGAGGTACGAGCGACATCCATGACTAAGCCAATGCGGCGCTCAGCAATCCCATTCTGTTGTGGTGAGGCCGGAAGCGTGAACGACTGGAGGATGCCCTGGTTCTCACAGAAGGCTTGCAAGAGGTCGGAGGAGAACTCACCGCCTCTGTCAGAGTGCAGACGCAGGACAGGAAAGTCCGAGTGGAACCGCTCGCGGAGCTGGAGACGAACAGCGCGGATCCAGGGGATCAAAACAGCCGGGACCTCACCCTTGGTGCGCAAGGGGAAGACCGTGGTGTAGCGCGTGTAGTCGTCGACGACCAGCAGGAAGTAACGCTCGTGGCCCTGCCCCTGGATGCGGGCTGGGCCCCACACGTCCAGGTGGAGAGTCTGCAGTGGAGCCTCTGTCGGAGGGAACGAGGAGGAGTGAGGAGCGGCGCGCTGCCGTCCCTCGACGCAAGGAACGCAGGGCGGGGCAGGCGAGGGTGGGAGGGAGGGCAGTGACCTGGGAAGACCAGAGACCAACTGACGAGAGTGCATGCCACGAAGGCGAGGCAGGGAGGGGTGACCAAGGCGATGGTGCCAAAGGAGAGTCTGGTGCGACAGGCGGCGACACTCACACTGGGTAGCTACCTGAGCGGACGCGTACAGCTGAGGAGACAAAGAGGTGTAGCGTGACATAGTAGTGAGGGTGTACAGACTGGACCCAGGCTCACGTGTGAACGTGGCCAGGTGGCGGCCGGTCCAG